CAGCTATAAATAGTCATCTGGCATGGTGCTTCATGGTTTACAGCCGATCAAGGCTCTGCTGAACTGTCAAAACTCTTAAGATCGTATAAAATGATACTACGAAAGTTTTCTCGAGTTAAATCCATGTTAATTTAGACACGCAATTTTTAAAATGGCACCACAATGTAAAAACAGTTGACATGCTGATGAAACAAACTGTATTCTACAGCCAAAGAGTTCCAGTTTCAAATGTTATAATTACATTTTAAATATTGTTTATCGGAAGTGGTCAGTTCAAGAAACTTATAGTGTGACCTGTATATAGTGGCTTCTCTGTGGGACTATCCGGGCCTCACAGAAGACCGAGGTAAAATGGAAATGTTCGTATGTTTGCATTCCATCCAGCGAATAAGTAATCAGCCCTAAAACTAGTCAGGCTTCCCGTCTTTCGATGATTAAGTGATGTTCGTACACCACCCTACTCTAAAAATCTTCAATAAACAAAAAGTTTACAGATGCACATAATATATAGTATGAACATAGAAATACATAAAAGCTTAAAATAAAGCAAAGGGTGTTTTATATCGCAATTCGTAAGCATTTCTTATCGTTGTGTTTGAAAACATTTCACAATTCGGAGACGAATGAATGGATGGAATGTAAATAAAATAGTGTCAAAGTAATTTACGCGAATAAGCTGTTTATATTAAGTGCGGATAATCGCTCTGAATTAAAAGGTAACGAGTTCGCCTTTCGAAGTAGGGGTAAATAATCTTTTCTTCTGAAAAAAAAAAAACAAAAATTTGACTGATTCTCGTCCCTTGTTAAGTTAAGAACGATTACGACGTAGAGAAACATTTTGTTTACATTAATTTAAAATAGAATTTGTATTTTGGTGCGTCTTAAAGGTATTTCTTATATCATCAAATTATTAATCACGTAAAAATATCTGATGAGATATTATTAGAAAAGAAAGTTTGTTTAGTAAATACTTTAGTTTGTTTAATTAAGACTTTCGTCGCTGAACGAAATTTTGAACTTACAATTATTAAACACCGTATAAGACATTAATTTTTTATATGAGCACGTGGTAGTTTCGAAATGTGTGATATTAAGTAACAGTTAGAATTCCTGACATACGTCCCATTTAGAGATTGTGGGCTCGTCAACTCCCATTAATTACTATGCTATTTTCGTTTAATCCCAGCATGCTATCCTCTGCCGCTTCGTCATCATGGTCACTACGTAGTTGGCAGATATTTTTCATAACACTCGAATTAACTCCTCAACGTTTCTCAAAGGATTTCTTTTGAAAAGAATTCACTTTGATACGATAGCAACAGCTTATCGTATTTCTTATAAAAGCCGATCCCGAGCGCGTGTAGAGACTGAGGAAGTTTAAGGTAAATTTTTCCACGTTTTGCTTTTCCTAAGTCCAAACTTTTCCAACTCACAAGATTAGAAGTTAAAATAGATTACCGTTGGTAATATCTTAAATGTCATTCTTTTTAATTGCCATGTGTTGCAACCGATATATATAAATAGCCTAGGCGATACATTGACCAAATACATTCTATTGGATCGCAAAATTTATTTTGTTTTATTTTGTTTTTAATATCGGTATTATAAATCAGAAGTTGAAATAGCAGTCCTAGAAGCACAAACGGAACTTTTCGACAGTGGTAGCGCAACGCGGTGTGGTAGCGGTCACTGTTGCGCGAATGGGCACGTTCGTACCGCGAACCACTTCCCCAGAAGACCGGCCTGAAGTGGAAGTGTATCACTTCTGCGATTCGCCCGGTGAGTGAGGTAATCGGGGCCCACTTTATTAAAAGGTGGTTAGTGGTAACAAAATTGTGATTCTACGGATATTGCAAATATCAATGTGTGGCGGTTATCGTTTAATGTCATGTCAATCACTAGACTTGCCGTCTTCTCACATAAAATCCAATTTGTCACTTAAGTGGATACAAGAATTTATAAATGGGCTAATTTGCTAGACATTATTTGATTCAGCTAAATTTACAAAAACATCATCCAGTAAATTTTTAAACTAAGTCACAAATCTAATGTCCATCTCTCTAATTCGCTGTCGGTTTTTAATCTTTTTTTTTATAAACTACACCATATTTATTAATTTTACCGGAGCTTTGATATTTCCGACACATAATTACTGATTTAAAACCTTTATTGAAACGGAAACAATCGGCCACGTTCTGTGCAGAGATTAATTTGTTTCTTGCATACAAATATCGCTGGAGGAGAGCTATATTTCATTTGTTTTATTGCTCTCGCGTGCGTTAGTTTTACGCAGCGTTGACAAATTCTCATGGTTAATGTCTGGCCAACAATATACGAGTATATTTTGTGTAAACAACGACACCTAATAAATGTCTTAAAGGTCCCGTTAGCGTTCAAACACTGCACACACTGTTGATCAATTTTTCCAAACTAATGGCCCGTTTTCCGGTTGAAGTGATTATTTAAAACATAAGAAAAAACAGTTCGTCTTTTAACCATACACTAAATTAAAATGCCTTGTAACATCGAGTAAACCAACCGGTTGATCATTAAAAATGCAATAGTACTTGACCAATGTTTCTTAATATAGAAAGAAGAAAAATGGTCTGCCAGCGAGGGCGTCGCATTTATACTCCGATTCCAATTTTTCGGTACGAGAAATCTCCTCGAGTGTCACGATGCAGCAAATAAATATTGGTCGTGAATCGGAGAAATGAATCGATCTCGCTCTTTTATAGATGATTCCGAAATTTTATCTCTTTCACCCTAATAGCCGCCTGACAAACATGTATCAGCGGTTAATAGGTGCGCTCGCGCAGCTGTTGCGAACAAATCAGTTTGGATGTAGCTGACACTGTCAAAAAGCTAGTTCCTCGGCACAAGATGTAAGCGGTGAGAGGTTACATGCTAGGCAAACCTAGGAACAACCTTGAAAGGAAATGGTTTTGACACCGATACGTGGCAACTTCCATATTGACTAATTGTGGAACGGCTAAACTTCATCTCTTATATGGCTCACTATTTTTGTCAATTGTTACTTTTTATTTAATATTTATATTTTTATTATAAAAACATTTGGAAATACGTACATTATTAACACGTATAACTATAAACAATTGACATCAATTAATTAACATGCTGCCGTATATTAGATTCTTAAATAAAGTGAAATATTGCTGAATATCTCTTTACTACCCCGATATTTTTGATGTTTAGTAAGACAAACGCACAAATAGTTCGTTTGTTTCACTAAACAATAAATCGTATTGAAAAAAAAATCAATATTTTTTTTAATTTTGAGTCCGTATGTTAATAATACTATTAAAATCGCATACATTTTTTTATATTTAATCTACAATTATGAGATTTTTTTATTGATAATATAGGCATACTATACACAAAGCATTATATACGATAACACGACTCAACTATTTTTTTAATCACCCTTTCGGATTTAAGAATCAAGCCATTGGACATTAGTATGTTGACAAACCGCTTGTCTCTTGTCCCGTGCCCTAAGAACTACGAAGATATTACGAGGAGGGTCGCCTCGCCGTTCATTCAAGATCGGAGAAAGCGTCCTAAGTATTTAAAAATAGACATTGTTGAATATTTATTGGCCATCTCTTTGAGATTCGATTTAATATTAACATTGGAAAAATATCGTACGCACGTGTTTGTTCGATGGGTGCTAATTTCTTTGAGGACGTTGTAATATTTTAGAAATGCCCAATCTATTCGTAGGGAAATTTGTGGATGAATGTTTAAATACTATTAAACCATAAAGGTAACATGTAGCCTTATTTACATTGACTTTATTTACGTTAAATAGTACTCGTATGCATTTTTTTGAATTTATTTTAACATTACTTTTATAAATATAGAAAATTGTTATTTAGCACTTGTTATTTTGCTACGATTATCCTGCAACTAATTTCTGGTCCAATCGAGCTTTTTAATTTAACTCGTCGTAAACTATTTTAAGTAGGAATTTTTACACACTGTATAAAAATTGTGTACCATAATAAAGAACCGTTTTCATTCAATATTTGTAAAGCTTTTCCAATAATTAGCACGTGTACTTTGGCGAGGGGTATATGATAATTAAAGGCTAGAGGGATAATTAAAATAAATATTACGTAATAATAATTGGCCGGCTTATTTCGAATATACTTACAAAAAGGTTGTGAGGAGTTTAACTTCGCTCTGAGTGCACTTTTATAGGGTCTTGTTTAGGCGGAGGGTACAACAAGTGCAGTGCTAATAATCCTTTATTTAAGCTCCTGTCAGTTTAAATTCCTTAAAATCCGTTAGCCCTTGCTGTTTAAGCTGAGTACAAATAAAACTTTTTAACGTTTTTTGGGTAAAATTCACGAATGGATCAGACTAAATGTAGTCTAATTTTACCCTAAGAATACACAAGCTTGCGCATTTACCACAAAAAGAAAACCTTCGTCGTGTCTCCTCTTTTGAGAGTACTTCCCTTTTTGCCCCAGACTTGATTAGAATTCTCTTAGTTGACATATCGAGCAGCGTTCAATTTCCCGGTCACTCGTAAGAGATAGGTAAAGCTAATTTCTAAAAAGCTTTGTGTCCTGGCTAGGCGAGGCATTATTTCCTGCCTGCAGCTTGACAAAGGGAAGATGGCGTACTATTTTCATCTCTGGGCTGGGACGCCCTAGCATATTATGGTGGCAGCTGATCTGCCACCATAAATATGATCGCACTTTTCTCGTCTTCTCATTCCCTTTGGACTTGCGAAGAGACGTTTCATCGCTTTCTTTCTTTCATTTTTATGAATCTATACAGTGCTCTGAGTTGCTCGGATTATATATACCTGCTGCTGAATTTTGTCAAAGTACGAAGCATTTAACTGCCATATAGCATCGGTACTATCTCGATGGTTGGCAGTCACCACTGCGTTTCTCACGTAATTGTGGTATATATTAGATTTTTTGTATAAATGAAAGCATCAGCTATAATTTAACCACTTTGTCCAGGAGCTGTCGATTCACGCTGTATCCACCCATGAGTTACTGAAGCCAAAAGAAGAACCTACCTATTCACTGGCTCCGTCATCCAACCTTTGCTCAGTGAGCCTGCAACACACAGGTGAGTTATGTTTTATTTAATACTAGAAGACCACAGAGTTTTGACACTTCCTTATGTTATTAGCCCAATGAATTGTCTCACGAGTAAAGGGATGACTATGGATGATGATGGATAGACGCACTAAACACCGATAAATTATAATACAAGTAATAGCCTATTATTTTATTTTCCTAGATATGGGATCATTAATAACATCGGTACTTAATAGTAAATCTAATACATTTAAATCGAGCAATTCGTAGATTTGGGGCCGAAAAATCGATCTAGCTAGGTTTAATTTTTAGAAAATGTCCTTTTATCCCTGTTTTATTTTTCGCCGAAAGAAATTTTATAATAGCTCGGTCGGTAACCGGGCGACCCCGAACAGAAGGTTCGTGTTGCGATCATTTACACACTTATTTTTTTTACTTTTTTTCTATAGCAAAACATTGCTTTCTTTATTTTTTTAATTGCCACAATACACGATTTACAAAGAAAATACCGAGCAAAGCTCGGGCCTCCAGGTACTTGTATTAAATGAGACAAAATTCTTAAAACATTTTCTTGGCGCATCATTTCAAAGGTCGTAAACTACTTAAATTATATTATATTAATAAATAAAAATAAAATTATAACGAAGAAATTTCGAAATTAAAAGTTTCAATTCGGTATCGATAATTGTTTTGGATGTATAAACGTAAACACGGATGTTACCTCGCGTTTCGAAGGTCGAACAGTAAGAGCAGCATTTAAATAAACCGATTTAAATTAAGCAGCGATCGGATACAAAACGTTTGCATGTTGCGTTTTGCTGCATTCGCGTATCGTTGCTTTGAAATTAGAAGGGAAACGATATCAAGCGCTAGGAATAATGGGAATATTTATAAATAAAGACTCCTTAAGCAATCCGATACAGGCTTGGGGTCACGGGGAACGTGCGGATTTAAACGGGGAGCCCAAACTATATTTCGCTTCAGGCCCAAACGGCTAATAGCCTAGCGTATCGAATTACTCAGTTAGTAGGGGGCTAATTAATATCTTAATGATCCGAAAGCGTAGATGTTATACGATCGCGACAGTACCTAGTACCAACATCGTGCACGTTCGCCTCTCGAAAAACTTCGGAGAATCGCTCTTGAAAATTGTTATCCGATTTAAAAAAAAAAAAACTTGTTCCATTTTTCTAAGTAATAAGCAAAAGAGTGCTGGAGCGTTAAATCTTTTTATTTCGTTAAATTTAATGAGTCAGTTTAATTTTTTTTTTTACATTTACGCGAACATTACTTATTATTTTATAGTAGTATATATACGGAGAGTTCACAATAACATTGTTAATTAAAGGGTTTTCCTCGTAGTGAAACTAGATTGGCTTTTCATTGACAATAATGTGATAAGATAAAATACTCTCGTATGTGATATTCCTCCTTTCCTTTAAAGAAGTATTATTTTTATCTTATATATTTTTTTATTAATTCTCATTATTTAATAAGAAACCGTGTCGTAAAATTCCCCGTTTTGAGTTAACTAACAAATAAGACAACTATGCTTTTTTCATTTTAAGAAAATTAATTTTAAATAATTTGAACATTTAATTTTAACCTTAGAAATATGCTAATGGGAATATGAGAAGCATCTAAATAAATAAATAAATAATAAATATTTTAGGACACATTTTTACACAACATTCTCTAGTCCCAAACTAAGCAAAGCTTGTACTATGGGTACTAGAAAACTGATAAACATACTTAAAAATACTTTTCTTTTGGAAATAAATACATATTTTACATATATTCACACCCAGGAGGCAGGTACACTGCCCACAACGCCATTCGGGTCGTCTCAATTGATACCACTCTTAGCGTTTCCATTCGATAAATTATTTTTTTAGAAAAAGAGATCCTTACTGCTTGATAGAAAAATGCGTGGCGTTGGATACTCTTGTTGCATTTCTTTGTTCGTAAAGAGCTGTGAACAAAGAGCCCACTGTCGCGTTATAATAAAGAACAAACCGATACCAGCGGCCTGTGGGTCGGCTTAGTGGAAGCACTTCGGTAACCGTTGGCGCGGACTTAGGAGCATTTAATTTACGACCCGGCCGGTATTGTTCATTGAGAACGGGCCCGGTTTGATTGTCGATATTAAAAGTGTCAAACGCCGCCTGCCGGAAATTCATTGATAGATTTAATCGCCCGCACTGAAATAGCATGTGCTGGGGTTTGATTCGGCGAGTGAATTGCGCGGCCATTAATGCCGTCCGGTGGAGCGGTCCGCTCTTAGTGCGAACGCTATTTCAGGTTACTTACGAGATCCTACATATTGGACATATGGGGTTTACGTCATTGAGGTTTACAGCCATACGGTGTAGTGGGTGCCAAGGATCTCCGTTTCGCCAATTGCTACGGTTTATAAATGGTGAAATCCTTTGTCGATTTTCGTAGATTTTTCGGAACATTCTCTACCGTTATATTGAAATGATGTTGGTCAATTATTTTCGCATAATTGAGATATAAAATGAACTATACGGCTAATGTATCAGACCAAATTTCGCCGAATTCTTTTCAAATTGCCTTCAGCTATTCACTGTTTACAATTAACATACCATATATAAACCAGGCATTTTTTCAGTAATGATCAACCGTATCCTACAGGACACGTACAATATAAAAATAGGATAGGAACCCACTGATGTTCCGGTCATCTTAAGTGAATGCGTGCCCACTGTAACCACCGCGCACAATTGCCACGACGAAGAGCTACGGCACGCAAGGGCTTACGAGGAAGTAAACCAACCTTGCGCAATCTCCTCCTAGCCGTTGAGTACAGACAGTACGTTTTGCGATCGCAGCCTCTCCATGAGTTGCCGCGAACTCGGTTTTAACTCCCATCTGGCAATGTTCCGAATAAAACGGTCTTGTCCCTTAGTAGTTGTCTGATATCTATGAGGATGTCGTTCAGCCAGTCGTGTCCCCAGTGAGCCGATAACATTGCTGATTTTTTTACTATTAATAATATTATAATTAATTGATATGAGTAAACTGTAAGGGAGAGGGGGAGGTCAATACAATAATGCTAATACATGTCACAGAGACATGAAAATTGAGTTGGCCCCTTGGATCGGTCCGTCTTCTTGTAGAAGGTTTTAAAATAGTTGTCCGGCAAACATATATAAAAATGAATCGTCAGAATTTACGTGACGTTGAGTAATTATTTTGGGACTTTTGAAGCGTCTGTAAAGCAATACGGTCCATTGAAAGTGTCTGGGAGTATTGACGACTTATTTTTAAAGATATGGTCTAGAATATACATAGAAATCAGCTTGGAGAAAATACGTGAGGTAAGTAATGTTTTAATGTACCTTGATTACCTGATACCTGGAAATTGGCGCACTGAACAAGTTAGCAGGTAGGTATACGATCGTAGTACATACTAACACTATTCAATCGTACACATTTCGTAAAATACGTGACGTCTGGCGGCCCTGGGATCTTGGACTAACACCCATATTGTACTGTGTATATTATGTAGATATTTGCATTTCTGAAACTCTTACCGATTATCTTTTTGTGCTAAAAATGACATGTATCTCGCTCCATGAAGCTCTCTGCAGGTCCGTCCGAGTAAGTACCACGACCTCACAGAAGCCCGGTGTGAAAAAGCACTTCTGCGTGTCGTTTGGTGAGTGAGGAGCACCTACAACCCTAAGGGTGTAAATGTCCTTCAGCGGCGGTTGTCACTTACCATGTGTACTGCCAGTTCATTTGTCACCTTCTCACGTAAAAAAATGTACTATTTGAGATCTAGTGTTTATTTGAGATTAGCTGTTTCGACATATAATTAAGTCTTTGGGGGTCTTCGCACTGCGCGTCACTGGTCGGCTAACGTTGATGGAACGGTTACGTAACAATTAGAGAGAGGCATAATGGGCGGGGTTTGACCTGACGGCTAGTGATTTTAGTCATCCATGGATATAAATGAAAACCGTGATTGATGAAAGAAAGCAGTTGTCCGCTAAACGTTAAGGGGATGTGCCTCGCTGCCTCTCTGGCCAAATGGTAGGATGTGCCGTGGATTAGCCGTTTGTACGCCGTATTAAGTATTACTATCACATCAAGCTGATGACAAAAAAAGCGATCGATAGGTTATAATTATATTATTTTGTACTCAGTTTATTGGAATTTTCAGATATGGTAAGAAACTTGTTCCATTTAAGATAGTTACCATTATAGTGATAGGCGCTATTAAAATTAAGGCTAAAGTAATTTTAATAAGTTCTAAACCACTGTCTTATTCACTAAAAATTGTCTTTTATTTGACAGATTAATGCCCAGTTTCCGAAAGGTCAATCAAACCAGCAATCACATAAAATTATAAAAACGCGTTTTATGATATTACTGTTCATCCTTGCTATTCATCGTATTACTAATCCGTGATCGTATGACATACAGCGTGTCGTTACAACCGCGACAATAAATGAACACACATATAGAGGATAGCTTTTTAAAATTGTATTAAGAATTTACATTCTTTAAACATCAATATTTACCGAGTTATAAAATTTTACAAAACAAACATTTTTAGAACATATATAACTTACGTATAAAATTGTAACGTAAATTTCATTTGTAAAGGTCACAAAGCATATGAATGAGTTGAATGAATTTTAAAGAGATACGAAAGAGAGAGAGATAGAACATACTGTTAGAAGGAGAGATTTGTAATGCGACGTTGTGGCAACGAATGAAAAAGTCTCTGAATGTATGAATCAGTCAGTTGTAGTTGTATAGGATGTTTTATATTTATTATGATTATTGGAAAGTAGCGTTAGACGTGTGTTCATTTATTGTCGCGGTTGTAACGACACGCTGTATAAAATTGGGCTAATCTTAAAATTCTGCATCTGCCTTTCGGAAAGGATCAGAAGAAACCACTTCCTTATATTATTGTTTGTGATCAAACTTTTAATAATCCATAATCGAACAGTGTGGATCTGAATGAATGGATTTTGAACTCCCGGCTTCAGA